AGCATGTTTTCGCTTATCCGCCCTGCAGTATGCAGCAGATAAGGCGATCCTTGATAATCTGCGCGACGGCCGATGCAGGATGAAGTTTATGTTTGAAGGAGATTTCATGGTTGTATTTGGGCTGAGATACTGCCAGGGCGTCCAGACAGACAGGAGGACGATTAGGGTCCTCATCCAAAGCTTTTGACTCAGAAGCCTGTCCGCAAGGCAGCGGGGAGGTGGCGATGATTTAATTTTACACAAATGGACGCCATCCCATTTCAAACCCCCAACCTGGAGGACCAGGCGACTGAGTTTGTCTAACCTCTCACCATTGATCAACCTGGTAGGAGTAGCTCTCAAGGTGCCCAGAGGCATCACCCAGTATAGCTCAATGGGTCCATGAGGTACACAAACCGTCGCACCATGTTAAAGTCCAGTCTCGTTGCGACGGAGTCCTGTTTCGTTGCGACGGCCAGCGTGTCCGCAGCTATGATGTTCGTAGGCGAGTGCTAGGTAGTGATAATCATACTAGCTCCCTAGAACAATATAGCACTGAGTAAGTTGCGTTGGCTTATTACCTGCTACATATGCATGGCCACCGCTCACCTAGGAAGGCCTTTTATCTGCCAGTTGTAGGATTGCGCAAAGTTCGAGGTGGACAGAAGTTGGCTTAGCAGCAGGATATGAAATCACTGACGACCAAACTAGGTGTCCTTGATCCTTCTCACCTTTCGGGCTGGAGTCCACGTGACTCACTTTGTGCTTGGCTTGAGACTTTACAGGACATGGCTCGCAGTAGACACCAGTGGCACATGTGCTGCCGTCTCCTAGTGTGTTTGGCTCTGACTTGTCTGCGGGGTAATGGTTGCTTATTGCACGGGGCAATAAAAACCTATATCGTCGATACCGCCTTATCTTTGCACGATAGCCAGCTGTTTGTGAAGGTATGCTATCTACACAAGGTGTAGGCACCTTGATCATGTATGTTATCTTAGGGCATTAAGGTTTTCAGATAAGTCACCCTTCTCATTATTTTTTATTCCATAATTCATCATGGTTGTGGCAGCGAAGCATTAGTTCAAATGGCTGACGTACTGCTGTTGTTGATGAGTGGACGGGACCCGTGTGCATGCTGACTATGTATACTTAGTGAACAGTATACTGGTGTCTTCTCGTGAGACCTCTCTACTTCAGGTTGCACTGGTCGCGTGTGTCCCGGACGCTTCTTTCCTAACTAAAATCAGCACAACAGAGACACAATGCTTCGTGCTATTGCAAGGGCTAAATCCTCCCAAAGCTTCTGGCTTATAGGGCTAGTGAATACTAGTCCGATAGGGTGCGCGAAATTAAGCGCGGATATCAGAAGACGATTGGAGTCGGACATAGCGGACTGTATTCGTTGGGCTACAAGAAGACGCGGACGGATAAAGCAACACAGGAGGAACACGTAATGTAAGGGAGATTAAAACCAAAAAGTATAGTGTACAATTGCTCATCAGTGAAATGGTACACAAAAGACTAGTTATCTTTTGAGGCTTTACAGAGCTTACCACCTCTAGAAGGCTGGACAAAGGGAGCCTTCGATGCTGAACATGACGGGTGGATCGAAGTTGGTTAGGCAAAATCGTGCCGAGTGAGTGAGTGGGCATTCGGGTCCAATGGGGGTCCGCTGTGCTGTTTGTGATTGATTGTTTATTGATTGCAGGGCAGGGTGCATTTCGGCTAGCCGTTGGAGCGGGCTTGTCGGACTTGAGAATTACTGGCTATCCCAGGAAAAAAGGCCGACAGGACCTCAGTCTCCGTTGCTGCAAAACGGTGGGCTTGGGAGGGTTCTCTCCCCGCGCCCCACCCTATCCCACGCCAAAACGACCGTCGTCCCACGGCGAAATGACCATCGTCTGACGAAGTAAAGACCGTCGTTCCACGGAGAAATGACCCGCATTCGCGTCGGGATCCTCGTTGGCTGGCGATCCTTGAAAAGGTTGCTTGTGAGGACCAGACGGTCGAAGGGGCCATATGGAGACGAGAATGCAGAGAAACACGCAGAACACGCCAAAATGAACAAGCGAATGATCTGCGATAAAAAGGGTTAAAGTTTTTGGATAATTTTACAAAGCTCTTTCGGAGGTTTTTGATTTCTTTTGTATTTTTATAATGTTAATTGACCAAAAACGTGACAAATATTTTCAACGTTTACAAATCTCAACGTATTTGCACTTTACATAGTCGGAGAAACGAACGGGCTTACGAACCTCCCGCCCACGTCTGTTGGTCGTGGGAGGCTGCGGGCTAGATTCGGGAGATGTCAGGACGGCCGATGCTTGTAGACCGGGATCATAGACTGGTTCGACTGCACTGGGATGCTGAAAGTTGGTGCGGTGTGACGTCGCACGAAGTGTTACTAGACGAAGTAGGCGAGGCGGTTTCTTCCATAAAGGCAGGCTTCAGACGGTCGTGGTGACAACTTCGCTTCGCCGCCCCGGCTAATTGTGTACGTCTTAATCTGAGTCTCTCCTTGTCATCCTCCAGCCGCACAGAAATGCGAAATAATCCATCAGTAACTTGGTTTTGCAAAGCCGGTCGGTACACAATTTGAAAATCGTAGTCAAGGAGTCTAGCATACCAACGATCGATCTGTATTGGACGCGATGCTTTAGATCCATTGCTGAGCAGGACTGTAAAGGCTGAGTGAGTGCAACGACGACCGAACAGGAAAAGATGCAATTTTTCGCAAACTCACACAAGCGTAAGCTTCTTCCTCCCCAACTGAACTGTGGCGCTCAACATCAGAGTTTCCGGGATGCCTAAGCAATAACTTTTTCCTCTGCCTTTTGTAGCTGTGACAGAACAGCGTCGAGGCCAACACCATACTCATCAATCGACACAGAAGTGCGGCATGATTCATCGAAAATAGCAACTGAACGAGTAGATGCAACCCTCTTCAGTCCATTGAAAGCGTTTTGCTGATCGCTTCTCTAAGTGAACGACGCTCCTTTCCTTGTTAGTTGTCCTAATGAGTTTGCTGGAGTCGCCAACTTTTGCAAATAACGCAGATTGTAGAACCCATTCTCAAGAAGGCTTCAGTTCTGTCACCTTGGGTGTTGGCGCTTCTGCGAATGCCCGGATGTTTTCGTTGTTTGGGCGAACGCCGCCACGCGTTATGTCCCAGAAATTGAATATCAGGGCACTGAATTGACCTTTTTTGCATTTAGACGTAAATCACTAAGACGCCGAAGGACTGTACTCTTTCACCATGCTCTTGTGAGCGGTCGAAAGCACAGATATAATCCATGTATGCAACCTGCCCTTCATTGCCTGCCCAAACGTAAGCCATTAACTTTTGCCAGGCAACGGGCGCAGAACTCAAACCCATTGGCTACACTTTATACCGAAATAAGTCATCGGGAGCAAGGAAGGCAGTGAAATGCTTCGAATTGTTGGCCAATAGCATATGGAAGAATGCACTTTTCAAATCCAGCCTGAAAAAACGGTTACACCAGCTAAACATATAGTGCGTTCTTCGTTGGATGGCAACATGAATCGCTCGACGACGGTCTGCTTATTTAGTCCCTAAACCCTGACTGCCATCTTTTTCCAAGACACCATTGGATGCACCCACTCAGAGCAATCGCTGGGTTCAATCAATAAGTTTGCTAACATCTCTTGCAGGGCCGCTGAGACAGCTTAACGTTTTGCTAGCGGAATAGGCCGAGGTCGCCTAATGGCAACGGGTTTTGCATCCTGCTTCATCTGAATGCGGTGCACCCCACCTGGAATACGTCCGATGAACTGCTGAAATTTTTTAGGATAACGTTCATGCCAGTATGCCACGTTGACGGATGAGACACATGTGGACGAAAGATGGTACTACTTTCAAAGCCACCATGGCATAGTGCCCAATTTTGCCAGTTTTTGCACTTAGGACTGCTTGCGGGATAAGTGGGAAAGCTGGCTTTATGAGAACCACTTCGCAGCGATAGCAAGATGGCTTATCCGCTGGTAATTGCCGGGAATGTCGCACCTTTGCCACCTCAGCTGAATTGGCAGAACAGAACTGTTTCGATTGCACTGAAATTCGTCTTCATTCTAGCTAACTCGTAAACTCGCTCCCATGTTAAAGTGCGCGCCTCTTCCTGCAACAACGCCTCACGTATGCGATTTTCAGCTATTTCAGCAATTAGTTGCTCAGTCAACATACGGCCTTCGATCTTTTTCTTGGTATGGGCGAATAAACATGATAGTACTGCGCGACCTAACTGGGCAATGAAATTCTTCAAGCGTTCGCTTGTTTTCTGATGCATGCGGGAGAAAACGTGTCTTGCAGTAAACGCGTTCATTTGGTAATCCCATGTACGATCGAGAGCAGTGAAAGCTTTGAGGGATTTCCATCCTTGAAGGCCCATATCATCAAACTGCTGCTGCCCCTCACCTCCGAGTAAATATCCGAGCAGCTTCAATCTGTTTTCCTCACTAAAAGCAGTATGGAACTCGCCGCTTAAATTCAAGTAGTTTTAGAAGGTCGTTTTTTAACGTAGCCAGACATCTGATGTTGGTCTACTACCGCAGTCAGTCTAAAATATAGATGGGGCCGAATGAAGATGTTCATCTTTGGGCTCGCAACGCTAAATGTTGAAACAAGAAGGCAACAACAAAAATTGGCTATGTATCGCTCTCAATTCAAAGGTAACAGAATGGGCAACTTTTGACGGTTCGGATTACAGCCAATGAGAAGTGAGTTGTTTTTCAGGCAACCAATCAAACCTCATTTAAAGGAGACTTCGTGATGAGTCATTCACAACAGTCGCCATAAGCGCCTTGTAAAAGGCGGTCATTCGTTTGTTCTGTTGGCTGGCAGAAGCACTAAAGCACTCAATTAAACTCAGTTATTTGGGAGGTAATGAACACCAAAATTGGTTTCTGTTTATACCTTTTTCATATGCATTCCCATAAGAAACGCTTACGGTAACCTTGTTTCCGATCATTTCCTTAGCCCCCTGGATTCATTGCTCTATTTCCAGCTGATAAAATGGCTGATCCGGTCGGTATTAAATCTTGGGTATATTCATACCTGCAATCGACAAAACGAGTTGCACCGGAGTACACCATCACACAGAAGCCGGCTGGCCGCGGACGGCAGCGATTCGTTTGCGAAGTAAGCTGCTCATGTGCGCCTATACATTTCACTAGCTTAGGGCTGAATCCTTTAATTACGTTGGGATAGGAAATTCCACTTCCAAAAAAGATGCACAAACAAACGCTGCTCGAGATTTCGCCAATTATTTGGTTCGTGAAGGCTTCGTGAAACCTGCTGATGTTCCTTCCATCAAGGTAAGATACATAGTGGTTTATTCTCTCCTCAAGCCTGGCGAAACAGGGGAACCAGATGCACCGGTACCGCTCGTACAACCTTCTGTGCCACCGAATTTCGCTCCGCCATCATGGTCGTCTGCGCCGTCCCAAATGGGGTCCACATACATCAGTCGGATTTTCGATCAGAAGAAACTCGAGGAGGTAAGCTATCTCCACTTGCTTGCTTACTGTTTTAGGCGGAGGAGGTTGATTTAACAGCAGATATTCACGGTGGTTGGTCGATGGAAAACGCAAAAGCACGCTTAAACGAATACTTGCAGGCTACTCGACAACAAATTGGGGATGTAAAGTATACGGCTCTTGGACCGGATCATAATCGGTTAGTATCACTTGCCAATGGTATCATTGTTTCTTGCCACCTGGGTTCATTGTGCTCGGGTGTGATGGGCACTTTGCTACCCTGACCCTTACTATATCTGTTTGCTTATACTGTCGTAGTTATGCACCAACAGTCGAGGAGTTCTAGAGCTTAGTTCTGGTTGTTCTCCTCTAGTTGTCTAACATGACCTAAAAATCTTGGGCATGCGCGATCGTGCTCCAGCATCATCCCTGTGCGCACAGGTGGGACGGCCAACCGTCTTTTGGGCGTGTTTGCAGTCACTCGCAGAAAGAGAAACTAAAAGATGAAATGGCGTAATATGTACAAATATGGTAACGCCGGTCTTTTAATACAGTTTTACATTCAGTCAGTGCAGATGGCCAATAGGCTGCCGCTGAGTGACCGTTTCTGGTGTTCCTGGCCGTCGTCGTGAGACACATTTGGGACGAATTTCGGTCACTCAACAAACTCGGTATAGCCTTGCATTTTCGGTACTTAGTTATGACGATTTTGGAATCTATTTCTGCTGTGTATGAACGACATTTGCGAGCAGAAAAGCTGCATTCACGGCATATGTTAAGGTAACAATGAAAAGTGCTTTTCCTGAACGACTGAAATTCGTCCCGTATGTGTCTCACTGGCACGGTCATAAGCATAACAACGGTCACAGGGCGTTCCGACGGTCACTCCGGCGTACGAACTTTGGGCATTTGTGTTATGCGAGATGTCGCTATTCGATTACAGTCACTTCGGACACCAGCCTTCCGCTTCGGTCTGCCCTTCCTGACCTCCGTATCGGTACAACAGACGGAAGCGTTTGGCGCAATGCCTTTTAAACGTTCAAAGCTCTGCTCGCTTAAACTACGCACTTCTCCAAGCTCACTGAAGTGAGTGGTTTGAGCGTGTAGCAGCTTTGGACGTTTTCATACTATCTCATCCTTTTATTAACCAGCCTCGTTTGGCCGATACGATGAACCTATTGGACGTGGCGTCTCAGTCGTGCCGCATTCGAACCGCACCTTACTGTGAGTCTATCGATGAATTACATTATATCGTTTGTTTTAGCAGTAATTACCTAGCTTTTATATACCTGTATGTGCTTCTCCAACCAGTTGCTTTTCACGTAACTTATTTCTCCGTGAATATATACACAAAGCTTAGCCCATCTTCCTCGTATGTTTGCTTTTGTGATATCGTTTATCCGAGTTATCGGGATTTTCAGTTTCTTTTTCGCTCCTAGAAATTGCTGTTGCCGTTTACCAGGTACGTGTAGTCAACCTATGATGAAAACGTTTTAGGTGTTCGGCTTTTAATTTACGTAAGTGCACGCGACCTCACAGTACTCCAGCCTTCACAGCGAATCGTCGGTACGAGTTTCCGGCGTGCTACGAATACTTTGTGTATGGTAGATCCGCCAGGACCGTTTTTTAAAAATCTTGCATCACTTTATTCAGGATATCCGGACGATAATTTTACCCAAAGTGTGGCCCTAGGCACCGCGTTAGTTCGTACTACCATGCTGTTTTTCGCACTGGTTCCTCATTTGTTCCCCTGTTTGCAGCTGTATGGTTTTTGTCTATTACAGAAGCTATGCTGCTGAGCTGACCGTTTTTGCCAAGGGTTTGAGAAAAAATCTTTATTCACGTGAAACCGGGTCTAACAAACAAATGGCATCGAGGGCATGCTGTTTATCTCTTGTGCGCCAACTCTTTCACGCTGGTGAGATCGAAGCTTATACTGGCGAAAAAAAGAAGAAAAAGCACGATGAGGTTGGTTATTTCCATAATGACTTACCTCTTGATGCGTGGTTACTTTTTCCCCCTTTGCCTTTGTCTGTTCGACATTGTCACTTGTAAGCTGTTTGAATAAACTTAGGTTGTTCAGCTTTGGTCTACGCGCAACTAACTAGCGTTCTCACATGGCTCTCCGCACACATCGTGATAGATGTGTTTTATTTGTATATTCTTCTATCACTAGATACTGTTCACACGTAATTTCTTAGGTTCACGGCAGACAGCTGTCAGAATTCTTACGCGTTTGATAGTCCTCACTCTCCTCCACGACCATCTCTTGTCTATTGATTCTTTACACCCTACATACATAGTTCGAGTCTCTGATTTATGCTTTCGTTCACTATATCTGGATAGCCGGACTGTGGACGGTTGTACTAGTGTTCCATTTATGTGCCACCAGCGAATGAAAATTAACGCATAATATTATTTGTATTGTTCTCTTTTTGCCTTCGTCTCCTATTTTTGATATTATATAGATCCATAGTTTTTCAACCCAACAAACAAGGTATTTCTCGCACCCAGCTAACTTGTCCGATGATGCTGCTGTTGATGCGAACGACCTCTTTTGGGCCTTTTATCGTCATTCTGGTAGTCCGTCTGCCTTCAACGATCGGACACCAGCAGCGTGCGGTTACTAATCCTGCAAGCTTAAATGCGCTTGTTGAAACTGCATCTTTCAACCAATTGCCGATTCTCCAGCATCGCATCATTATAGTTCTCTTCCGAACACACTGATTAAAATGCCTTGGTTCTGCCGGTCGCTTATCGCCTACCTCAACCCTAATTCTGTCACTGCCACTCGGTTCGAAAAGGACTACCTTATTCGTCACATGGCAGGGTGATTGAACGATATTAATACTGACACTTGATCTGCCCTCTTTTTCGATCCTGTTCTTATCTTTTTTTCGGACAAGTGGTTGCACACACGACTTTCCGACTGTGTTCCGGCGTCAGGTTTGACTTCTACTATAGGCACTAGACGGAGCTTTAGGGATGTCAGTGCATTCGGTCGCATGGAATTGTTTACATTACAGTATGCAAATCGATCACACAGAGCAGATCAGAAGTCCCTAACCTCGGGACACAAAACTACTTTTTGTCTAAAACCTAATTTTCGCACTATAGCTTTGATATGCGTTTATTCGATTGAGTGATCACGCTATGGTGATTAAAATCATATGCTATACTCTAGGGACCTAGCATACTTTTTGATTCACACTTTCTTCATCCAACTATCTTTTAGTCGCTTCTTTTGGGAGCACTTTTGACACCCATAGCCTAAAGGTAACGAACTTGTCTTGTAATCTGACGGCATGGGTTCGAGCCTGCGTAGGGCCGAGGTGACCGCGCCCACATGCTACCGGTGGTGGTTGCGCGGCAGCGAAGCGTCGTTGCTACGTACCGGCGTAATATTGATGCATTCTTCATTCATTACTGTGTAGTGTTTAAGCACTATGTTACAGCATTGGTTTTACTGCTGTCCATCGGCCAATTTCCCATAACCGATGCGGTTCGCTTATGGCTTGAGAATTTATCCGTTTCTCGTCATTTCTTACAGGTTCCTCCGTATGAGGTCAACTTGGACCCACAGGTGGAACGATCGCTTGCTGACCTCCTAGAAGAACTTAGAATCAACCCATCTTTGCAGCCACCGAAAAATTTGCCCTCAGATCAGCCCCACAACATGATCGTACAATACCAACTAGTGGATTTTGACGAAAACCCCGTCCAACCACCTCAGATGATTTCTTGGTGTCCTCCACTACCCAACTGGAACCCATGGTCTGGATGTAACATAGACGAGGGTCCGGAGGTATGCTTTGTTCTTTAATTCTGCTCATCATTAGTCCAAGTTCAAACCCCATATGCACGGCGTTTTTTTCATTGTTGAACCAACCTTTTTGACTTTTCAACCACCTTGTTTCTCAGGCGTCCATGCAATTGAGCGAGATAAGCATTCGGTTGGCAGACGAACGACTCCGCCGCTTGGATACCGAACCGAATCTGCGGGCCTTGCTAGATGACCGAGCTCAACTTCCGGTTCATCCGTACAAACGTTCTATTCTGGATGCAGTTAGCCACAACCGAGTTACTCTGATTCGAGGCGAGACAGGTTGCGGAAAAACAACACAAGTGAGTTACAAGAATTTCAAACAGTATCCGAACTACAACTAACGCTTTACTCTTTGGCGTACCAATTTTCATACTTTTCGCATGTCTTCTCGAATATCTAGCGTACCTCTCATGAGTGCAAAACTTGTTTCGGCTGTTCAAACGTCAGTGAATGACACGAACATTTTACCTGCACTGAAATTCATCTCCCCCTTAGTTGTTATGAACTACTTTCCGTTTCAGGAGGGTTTGAAAACAGTCATTTGTTTTCAGACCATTCGGAAAACATGAGTCCTTAATCTGTTCCAAGCATATTTCAAAATGTTGCATACTTTCCGTTTCATCTAAGGTAACTCTAATAATATTGTCCTTCTTTTTGAAAAATGCAGATCCCTCAGTTCATTTTGGATTCCTTCCTCGAAGCAGGAAAAGGCGCTGAGTGTGCTGTGTTAGTCACTCAACCGAGGCGCATATCCGCCATCAGCTTAGCTGAGCGAGTGGCTTTCGAACGTGGTGAGGTTATTGGGACGTCGGTGGGCTACTCGGTTCGCTTTGAAACGGTTCACCCTCGTCCATATGGCTCCATTTTATTCTGCACAGTTGGAACCATGGCTCGCAAAATGGAGTCCGGTCTACGTGGAGTTTCCCACATCATTGTCGATGAGATACACGAACGAGACGTGAACACCGATTTTATGCTCATTCTGCTGCGCGACATGGTCTTCGCTTACCGCGATCTACGCTTGGTGCTGATGTCCGCCACGATCGACACTACCATGTTCGTTGATTACTTTGGGGAGTGTGCGGTTTTCGATATTGAAGGTCGAACGCATCCCGTCGAATGTAAGCTCGCTACGCAGTTTATTGAATTTTTGCAGTGTGCCATTGGTTCCTTACTTAACGACGATGACACTTCATCTGTGGACATTTGTTTCTTAGCTCACGCCCCCTGACTTTTCAGCACAAATCTTTTACGCTGGTATCTATATACTGTGTTCTTCTCAACACCACAATACGCTTGTGTAGTCGAGCACTTGTATTTCAGCCAAGATACCCATCGGCTTCTCTGTTCCTCATCTGCCTTCTATTCCTCCTTTCTGTGTTCCACTTTTCGCGTAATGTTTTGCCCCTAGCTTTTGCTCTATGCGACCTTGTGCCTGTTCGAAGCTAGAACATAGCGCACAACTGATATCAGTAACATGCAGGTTGTCTTCCTACTTGAACTGTCTGTTTACGTTGTGCGTGCTACTTGGCGAGCTATGAACACCGCGTATGCAACTTCAGCTACGCCACCATATCTTTACACAGTATCCACTAGTCTTGCGAGCGCTCAACACAGAAGCGTCTCCACTGTGGCCATCTGTTTCTGACTTACGGTACAAGTGGTTTAGTCCTAGTTGTTTGCCTATTGAATTCGTGTCCCGCACCTGGTCCCCTCTCGTTTGTCGCTGGTTGCCTCTGAGTTTACTATTATGTGGCAGCGAAGTACCGATGCGGATCCCAGAAGCATATTTTTGATGTTTTGCCGCCGGAGAGCCGACAGTTTTTTTCAGCTCACGCACATTATTGCAACTTTAGGGTTTGTGCTCATTTGTCATTTCCTATCTATATTGCACATTTTGGAATATCTGTTCTAAAGAAGGCTACCATTTATCACGGGCCCAGCGCGCCCTATTTGATATTCCATCAAGGTCGGTCATGTTCTCCGTATTTTCCAACCTTTTGCCCATTATCCCTCACCGCTTGTGACCAGCGTTCCCACCCTTTGCCCTTTTGTTCCATTTAGATTATTTTCTTGAGGATTGTATCAAGATGCTCAACTACACTCCACCGCCTCTTGAAGACAAAAAGCGTAAACGGAATCAAGACGAAAATTTCGCTGAAGCGGTTGCCGAGAACTGCAACCTTATTTGCGGTCCTGAATATGGGACAGAGGTGGCGCTCTCATTGAGACAGATAATTGAGAAGGAGGTCCCCTTCGATCTTATTGGGTGTTTATTGGAAAGGATCGCTAGTATGGGCATCCCCGGAGCTGTTCTCATCTTTTTACCTGGTTGGAATATAATTAGCATGGCTCGAAAATACCTCCAGACCCACCCACGATTTGGTGGAAAAGACTATTTGATCTTGCCACTTCACTCCCAAGTACCCCGCGAAGACCAGCGTCTCGTGTTTCGCATACCTCCCCCTGGAGTGACAAAGATAGTCTTATCCACTAACATAGCAGAGACCTCTATCACTATCAACGATGTTGTATTCGTTATTGACCTGTGCCTTGTGCGAATGAAGCTGTTCACCGCTCGAAACAACATGACGTCCTATTCTACTTCTTGGGCTAGCAAAACAAACCTTGAGCAGCGCCGCGGCAGAGCAGGTCGTGTAAGACCAGGGTATGCATTCCACCTGTGCAGGTATGTTCCTTATCTATTTATATATCCATCCGTTTATCGCCCACGTTTTTAACTGACTTTAAATTCTCGTTTGTCACGCAGTTTTAGTACAATTGTATGCTATCCTCAGACTATCGTTGCCTCAGAGCTTTCTGCCATCACTGGTGTCGTTGACTGACTTCGAAGTGAAGCGGATCTGTTAGATTCCTCTTTACCGAATTCTTATTGAGTCCTCTAAACCTTGAGTGTAAACATTTCAACACTGGTGCCAAACTGTTAAGCCACAGTCTTATCGCCTTCCACAAAGTCAAAGTTGTATTTCGAATGAAGTTTACCGGCTCCGTTACTCTTACTGTAACGCTGTGTACTTGTCCAACTTGTGACCTTTAACATGCGGTCTCGCAAATCGCACCCAGTAGTACATTAGTTGTATCAGGAAGTATTAGCTGGTTCGTGTGTTTCAGATTCCTTTCCGTATTTTGTTGAAGGGCCTTTGTGTTAATTGTTTTATTCCACCTCTGAAGCAACTCATCTTGTGTGTGTGGTAAGTGCTGCTGTTTCATGAAGGTAGTCACCTCATTACCATAAACTCGTTCATTGGCAGCCGCGCCCGTTTCGAACGATTGGAACAACATTCGACTCCCGAAATCCTGCGGACTCCGCTCCACGATTTGGCTCTACTTATCAAACTTCTACGCCTTGGATCAGTGGGCGATTTTTTGAAAAAGGCTATGCAGCCCCCACCACTTGACGCCGTAATTGAAGCTGAGCACACTCTCAAAGGTATGATGCTTTTTGATCAATCAGTCGATCTGCTATTATTGTTTGTTATCGAGTGGCTTCGGATGTTGCTTCATCTAGAACGCGCGCCCTACGGCATAATTTTCGCCCTTGCACTTCTTGCTAAACTGCGAGCTTAAATGTCAATAGTATCGTGGAGTCAAAACGCTCGGCTCCTGAAGAATTTCACCGAATCCTTTCCCACTATATGTCATAAAATTATCAAGCATTCCGATTTAAACTGACCAGGGAACTTTCATTATCACCTCGAACCGTCATGTCATCTGGTTTCCCATACTACGATTTCGTCGCTAGTTTCCGGCCTCGCACCTGCCTACTTTCTGATAATCGATGGACCGCTGGTGGCATTTTTTCAATTTAGACTTATCTATGCAGCTGATTCTTGGTTGGTTTGTCTGTTCTGTGTGTTCAAGTTCACTTTTGGTTCGTATTCATTTCTGTACTCTTCACTTTCCACCCAAGAAATGAAGGCCTTAGATAAGAATGACGAACTTACTCCTCTGGGCAAAATCCTAGCCAGACTTCCTGTCGAACCTCGTTTAGGCAAGATGTTGATTCTTGCTTGCGTCTTCAATCTGGGTTGTGCTACTTCTATCCTGGCTTCTGCTGCCAGTCTTGGTTGCGAACCATTCCTGATGCCTCCCGACCGCCGGCGACTGTCCAACGAACAAAGACGTTTCGCCGCGGATTATTCTAGCGATCATCTTGCTGGATTGAACATATTTCAGGTTTGGTCATCAGAGCGATCTCGCCGTGGCGATCAGGCCGCTGAATATCTGTGCGAACGCTGTGAACTTAATGGACCTGCCTTACGTGTGCTGGAGGACGCTGGAAATCAGGTACTCCCTCTATAGCGGGCACTACTACGTCTCGAGCAACATTGCTTTTTCTGGGTCACCTATGTTTTTTCATGTCCCTAGACAACCTTATTCTCTGTGCGTCATAGTCTACTACTTTTCACCTTGAAACTTCTCATCGCTTCTGTAAGAGTGAACTTCCGTTATAATTCAAAAACTTGTTACATTCTACAGTTTAACTTGACCATTGTCTTCTGCGCTTATAGCTTTCCTCTCGTAAACCATTTTTGTCGATTGATGCGTAGCGTAGCGTAGCGAAAATTTCCGTATATTTGCGTGGAACCCGTTTACTAGCAACATCTCTGTGTTTGATACTCATCTCTGAGGCAGAAAATCAATCCGCTTTTCAAATGATATTCGTCTGAGTCAACTACACCCTAAGATGTTGATTTTCTCGCCGTGGGCAATTTACTTGTAGACGCTTCGCCACTAACTGGCATCTTCAGTGCGCGAATGCGGATAGTTTGTTAGCGAGAACAACTTCAAGTAACCCTGGAATTTTAAAGCATCGTGTTCCCTGTATCAGTCTGAACAAAACAATAAGTAGACGAGCACCGCAAAATGGCACCATTTCGTGTTATCTGATCACTTGCAAACTAGAAACCTATATAGATCATCTAAGGGAAGCAAACGATCGTCTTGAATTGCTCAGAAAAAAATGCACGCAAACACAAAACAATTGCTGGTAGCACGGGGGCACAGGTCATGAACCACAAGGAAGCTTAAGGGCTACTGTCATTAGCTTTTGTACACAAAGCGTGGGACGGTAACGATTTAGAGCCACAGCCTTGGCAAACTTCAGCACTGTTGCGTTTTCGTTTTGATAGATAACCGTGAAAGTAAACCCAGGGTCAACTTGATGACCTGTACTGACTAGATGTCTAGCGATGGATGACGCCGGCAGCTTCTCTGGTGCTCCTTTTCCGGTTACTTGTTTTGCCATCAGCCCAGCCATCCGATTCTGAATGTGCTCTCCAATCCGCTTATTCAGACAACAATCTGTTCTGCCCACATAACTGCTTCCGCAGGTACAGACGAATTGGTACATGCAATGAGTTGTGGCGGAGACCGGTTGAGCAGGTTTGATTGGAGGCATCGGCGGCTTTTTGGTTGTCCAGATAGGGCAGAGTTTGGCAGCGTTGAATCTATGGCGAATAGCTATGTTCACTCGTCGTTCAATTTGCGCCGTCACCACATTACCTTTGAAGGGTAGCTGTAAATAGACAGGCATTTCGGGCACAGTGAATACTCTTGGTTTGTTTTCCTTCAGGTGACTAAAATCTGATGATTGCCTCTGGATATCCATTGGCCCGTAATGTCTGTGTGATGAATGATACTTCCGACTCCACGTAGTCAACACTGCATGTTCTATGGGCACGATCGAACAACATCTTGACAAGGCAACGTTTGTATTGGGCCGGCGCACAGCTGGAATTGCCAAAATCCTGCGCGCTTCGACCTTCGTTCCTCGTCTTCAGAATGCAAGATGCTGCCACAAGACTTGAATTTCTCTGTGTTGTGTTCGGTTTCCTCTTAATGACAGCTGTATCTTCCTTTGATTTACAGGGTTTTTGCTGGCTCTTTGTCTGTTCGTAGACTGATGCGATTGCATATATATATATATATATATATATATATATATATATTTCACAACTGTGGAATAACCGCTGTATCATTGTGGTTGCATCGAATGCAGCCTACCTTCCAACACTACGCTATTCTGTTTACGTTCTCAGAAGAACTCGTCATCGTTTCGATGCTGGTTTCGAGTGGCCTCGCTCGTGACTCACTAGGCGTGCCTGGCTGAGGCACTCGCGGCCTCATGTGCTACAGCACCAGACGCTCGACGTCGATGCAGTACACTTCATCGACGCCTGTCGCTTCTTCCCCACATAGACGATGGTTTTCTCCTGCACCTCAGCGATTGCCTTCGTGATCAGATCGCCCCATGCACGCCGATCAACTGCCTTCGATTCCAAACGCCTGAAATTAATATTAGAACGTGATAGGCCCACCTTGATCATGTTTTGCTAACGAAGCTTCGGTTTCCCCACATGCCGCTTACCCACACTCAGCTGACCATATAACAGCTGCTTCGGTATCCGCGTGGAATCCGTAATCCACGCATGACAAAGCCACTTGAAGTGTCGCAGCAAAAGTATGCGGTCCACTGCATACATTTCACTTCGGCGCAACACTTCTGTGTCGCACCCTTCCCTTTCGCACCAACCGATGCGCAGAATTTGTCGCAGACACTGTTGATGAAACCGCTCGAGATATCTCACATCTCGCCGGTACATCGTCCACGTTTCGCTGCCGTATGGAAGAACGTGTAGCACCATGGACTTGTAGACCATCAGCTTCGTGCCAACGGTAAGTTGGTGGTTGTTCCACACTCGGTACTTGAGCTTCTCGAATGCCGCCGCTGCCTTCGATACGCGGATATGAAGCTCACTCTCTACTTGCTGGTCAGTCGAAACCACACTACGGTGGCAGAAGCTTGAAGTGGTTTCCAGTACATCACCTGCCTGCCGAACAACCTCGTGGTGCCAGCTGGGCGGTTCGGGTAGTTCCTGTTCCGGCGAATGATTCGGCGGCAATGTTCCAGGACGTGGTGGGTTTACGCCTGGCAAGCCTCTTCCCTTTAGAAAGCCACATTTGTCTGTTTAACAACACGTTGACGTGGCGGATGTGACTCGCCACTAAATAGGGTCACTGCCCCTTGTCTTCTCGGATACTTTGTATACCAGCAATCAATCCGAGCATTGCATGTTGCCTTTGACTTCTGGAGTGTTGAGACCATGGTATAGCTTTCATCATCCTAAAGGCGTATGAACTGAATGTTCAGTCACCGGCTTCCAACGAGTGCGAAACCGTTAATTCGCCCTGCTGCCTTGTGGGTTAGGCCTTTCGGCCAAAAGCTCGGGGCCGTGGTCCCCTAAGACAACCCACCAACTTCGGCCTAGGCAACCGGGCAGTATCACGCCTACTGATGAACCATGAATACACACGACTACGCTCTTCCTCGCCCTCATGCTCCTTTGTCGTACGACTACGCCAACTTCACAAACACACGCTACCAATGTACATACTCTTTCCTTGTGTCACTCACCCCGTTGTTACTTGATTCTTCAACTGTAAACAACCCTACCTCCGCCGATGAAGTTGTTCTCTCGCCACTCGTCAGCTCAACCACACAGTCCTCGACAAGGAGCTGCTACTCCCGAAGTTTGTCATGTTCACTACTGCAACTTAAAATGCAGTTCAAACTAGTAACCCTCAACGTGCACACATTATTGCAGATCGGACCGTCAGGTGGACTTGCACGCATACTGAAGACCTTTGAAATTGATGTCTGCTGCCTGAGTGAAACTCGACTGCAGCATTTCAACACAGTCTACCAGCTGTCGTCACCAGTCCAACCACACACGCGCTTTTCTCTTCGCCTTTCCACCAGGCTCCGATGGCTCGGCCATGTGTTACGCATGCCAGCCCACCGACTCCCGCAGCGTGCGTTGTTTGCGCGCCGGGGATGTGGATGGCAGAAGAGGAGATGTGGCCAAGCCATGACTTGGTCGAAAGAAATGAAGGCCCTCACTTCGAAACTGGCCTCAGTTGGAGCGTCTCGGCTCCCAAGTTGGGGTCCGAAAGACAATGAACACGTTTGGCTAGATATACTTACTGATGTGGCTAGGAGCCGACCTCAGGGGCGTTCGTGCTGTGAGTTTCTTTGTTCCACCCCACCCCCTAGCCTCTTACTTTAACCACGATCTCACCATTTAGCACTTTATAATTTTGCATAGTAAATTACTTTTTCTGCTGCATAGTAGCCGGATGGTAGCTTGTCGGAACGATACCCATCCGTTACCGGTAGCTCAGCTTGCTTGCACGTGTTGCATTTTCCCCTTTTTCTTTTATGTATTGCAGCATAGTAGCTGAGGTGTTTCCCACCTCTAGCTAACGTGTGTAATGATTTTGATCTTCGCCTTTCTGGTGACGCTGCGTCCGCCGCATCTGGTGTTGGAATCGCCCTCAATGCTAGAGCCGAGGCCGCCCTCTTTGACTGGATTTTAGTCAACAGTCGCCTATGCGCTGTGAGGCTCCGTGGTTCCTGTAAGGTTAGCAGGTATCGCGCAGACAAGCGTGCTCTTTTCATGATCCCCGCCTACGCGCCCACTGACTGCCGTCAAGGACCACTTCTATCAACATCTTCAAGAGGTACTCCTAAGGGCGCCTAAATTAGATATCGTTGTTATGGCGGGAGACTTAGACGCACATATTGGTTAGCTGCTGCCATGTGAACAACACCTCGGTGGACCGCACGGGTATGATGATGTTCGCTCTGACAACGGAGAGACTGCTCAGTCTTTGTACCGACCACCAACTTTTCCTCTCCAGTACGAGCTTTCGTCATTCTGGACGCCACTATACCACCTGGCGTCGTCCATCATCAACCCAGCGCTGGTCACAATTTGAGCACATAGCCATAAGTCACAGGTGGCGCAGCAGCGTACACGATTGCCGACCATTTTGGCCAACTTGTGTTGGCACCCATGATGCATTGGTGTGTACGATAATTTGTATGCGTCTCGGTGGTTCACCCAGGGTCAAGTAAACCCGACTCAACGCTCACATGCTAGGGGACTCAACGGTGAAAACTTAGTATCAACAGAGGCTTCGCAAAAATCTCACCCTACCCCATGCTCTGGGTGTTGATCAACACTGGTCAAATTTGAAAAAAGCAATGCTGTCAGCCGGCTTGTCCAGCTACGGACTCACCTGCTGCACAACCAGAAGCTAGATTTCGGTAAGAACTTCGGAACTGCTAGATCGTTGACGGGATATGCCCGCCGGTGCGGAGCACAATGCACTTTGTCTATCTATCTGTCAAAAGTTGGAGTCAAGCCTTTGCTCTGACCGTGCATCCTGCTGGTCAAAACGAGCTGATGAGATGTAAGCCGCTGCTTCGGATGTAAACTTCACAGTTTATTTTACCTCATCAAGACCATTGGTTGCAGTTCATACGCTGTCAGTCAGACGATTTGTGAGTCAGACGCACGAAAATCACCAGCCTGTACAGGCGCTTGGGCCGCTATACCGAGCACTTTGCTTTCCAATTTAACTGCTCAGCACAGTCCACTGTGACACCTCCGTTTCCCTCGGATGGTGCTTGGCCTATCGCCACAGATCCTCCTACCGAAACAAAGATCCAAAGCGTAATGTAATCTTTGAAGCGTCATAAAGCATCTGGTCCTGACAGCCTACCACCGGTTTTATTCAAAGATGGTGGGAATGCACTTGTAAGCATAATGCTATCACTGTTATCGAGAATTTGGACTGACGAGAAAGTCTCGATTGCCTGGGGAGTCATTGACCCGATTCACAAAAAGCTCCCGCGAAGATTGCGCCAGTTACCGCTGAATTTCGTTGATATCTGTTTCGTCCAAGATTTTTGTGTCTGTCCTACTCCGCAGGATCTCCGGGACTAGAGAATGCGTTTACCGAGAGGAACAGGCGGGTTTCCGTCCAGGTAGAGGTTGCATTGACCGCATCTTCACACTCCGCCAACTGCTTGAACTTCGTCACGTCCACCGACAGCCAACAGTGGTGGTGTTCTTGGACATCCAAGCGGCTTTTGACTCAGTAGATAGATCTGTGTTGTAGAACTGTCTACTAAGGAAAGGTGTGTCTAACAAGTTTGTCACCATCTTGAAGGATCTCTACAGTCACACGTCAGGCAAAGTTAGGGCTTACGGCACGTTTTCCATTTCGTTTGATATCACCAGGGGCGTGCGCCAAGTTTGCCCCATATCACCATTCTTTTTCGGTTTTGCCATTGAAGATGTCGTCTATCGGTTGACGTTTGCTGTTCCTTGGTTTGCTTGATCGACTATGAACAATGCCCGTATTTACAGGAGTGCCACAGTTGCAATTCTTTTTGTCATTTCCAGCACTATCATTACTGCTATCCACAGACTGCTGATCTTTCTCTTTCGAGCCTTCTCTAGCCATGAATTATGTGGTAGCACAGCTCATACCATATGTGATCATTTTATATATGCATGTATTCTGTTACCGCTCGCCTTCACCATAGTTCGGGCAGGGTGAGGGTTTATGGCAAACTCTCGCCACCCTTCAGTATCACCAGCGGTGTGAGACAAGGATGCCCGCTGTCACCTTTGCTCTTCAACTTCGCTATTGATGATGTCATGGAAACAGCGTTCGCTGGACACGACCTAGAAGGTGTGGAGCTACTTCCTGGTGAGCGACTTCTTGACTTGGAGTATGTAGACGATATTGCCCTAATATGTGACAGCCCCCAAACATGCCAAAGAGCACTGAACCGATTAGCACTGGCTGTCAATCGTTTTGGGCTATGCTTTGCTCCATCGAAATGCAAAGTACTTCTCCAAGATTGGTAGGGACCCAACCCTGCGCTAACGCTTGGTGGTGAGCTGCTAGAAGCCGTTCAGGAATTCAAGTACCTAGGCAGCTATATTAGCACCCATGGGATTGAAGATGAGGTTACGAACCGCATAGCAAAAGCTCGAGGTGCTTTTGCCAATCTCCGCCACCTGTGGCGCAGACGCGACATCACTCTCGCCCTGATGGGCAGTTTACAACGCAGTCGTCCGTTCCACTCTCCTATATGGTTGTGAAACCTGGCCCATCAGGTCGACAAACATGAAGAGATTCGTCACATTCGATCATCGCTGCCTTCGCAGCTTAGCTCATGTCTGGTGGGAACACCGCGTGAGCAATGAGCGTGTTCGACGTCGCGTATTTGGTGCAGGAAGAGCGAGTGAACTGCTCAGCACCATTATATCACGTACTAGGCTCCGATGGCTGGGCCACGTGTTGCGCATGCCAGCACACCGACTCCCGCGAGGTGCATTGTTTGCGCGTTGTGGGTGCGGTTGGAAGAGGAGGAGGGGAGGCCAAGTGATGACTTGGTCGAGAGAAATAAAAACCCTCACTTCGAAGTTGGCGTCTGTTGGTGCATCCCGATTGCCTGGCTGGGATCCTAAGGATGGTGAACACGTTTGGTTGGACACACTTGCTGATATGGCTCGGAGCCGGCACCAATGGCGTTTGTGTAGTGATTTCCTTCGTCCATCCCCCTCCTGTTTAGTATCCTCCTCCAATCACGATCTCATCTGTTAGGCATAATACGATTCTCTTTTACGGCAGCCAGCTGTTAGCTCTCCGGAACGATGTCCATCCGTTACTGCGGACTCAGCGGGCGTGCCACTGTTTGCTACTGTTTTCCTTTTCTTTTGTATTGCGGCACAATAGCTGAGGTGTTTTCCACCTCCAGCTAACGTGTAGTGATGCTGATGATGATGCCCGCCTTCACAGTACCGAGTTGATGCAGTAAGAACTGCCGCCTTGTGATGATTTCACCAATGCTCACATTCACTTTTAACCCAGGGGACAGGTTAAAAATGCGACTATTTGCAATTATCCCGTCACTTTTCCAGCATCAAGCGATGTTTTATCAGCGTAACCGTACTCGTAGATTTACAAACCATCATGGAGTTGCATATTCATTACATAGTACTAGGTCGCGGGGGTTCCCGTTAGTCAGGTAGGATCCTTCTTTACTTATTACTTATATGAAACTCAGTAAATCCCGGCTCCTATACTTACTCATTGGCGTCATAGCATGGTCTTTCAGTCAGCGGGGTAAGTGGTCAGCTAGAATCGCTTCCCAGAGATATTGCCTTGAAAAATTATCTGTCGCCGCATGGCCACTTGATTAAGATTTATCATCCTTTTTTACTTTCGAGATTGAATGTGCTTGGTCGGTGTACGTTTCAACGACACTGTTCAAGCCGTTCTTAGTATTAGTGTACTTCCTTCAGATCCATCCACTTTGATGCACTTGGTTGAATACTTTGTGTAGGATCAGTTAATCGTGTTTTCAAAACCCGTGATATATCGGCGGAAAACTGCTGTAGCGTAAGTTAGCTCTACCAGACCTGAGTCCATGAACCTAAATGTCCCCTATACCTGGGCTGTTGAGCATTAAAGAGAAAGACCATGATATAAGACAAATGCTAGTTACATGCAAACAAGTGTTTAGAATAAGATGGAGCTTGTAGACGCGTTTTTTTACCTTACTAGGCAAACTACCTAAAATTAAGTACTGCGGTATAGCGACAAAGTTGGAAATTACCGAAAAATTGACATCGCGGTCTATCAGGGTTAAACTGTGGCTAACGCCGTTGCATACATGGATTTACAAGCGTCTCTCCTTCCACCAGGAGAACAAAGCGGAGTGATCGAAAAGAACATGCATTGGCCTGCACCCAAAGGCATGCACAACAGAGCCTAGAGCAGACTTGTTCAGACCACAGGTTAAACGTGATTCGTCGGTCTGTGTTTATTGAAAATCAAGAGAAACCGGCTTTTTAGGTACGCAGCACTTCACAGAACTTAAAACTGCGTATCCAAGCTTTCTTTAACACCAGCCCGGCATGTCGCTTCAGTGCCACCGTTTCCAACCGCCTTCCGTGGCGACTTCAAGCGGTGTGCAGTAACATTGCTAGTAGATCTGCCATTATCTTACGTGTTGCTCGGCTGAACAAACTCTCCTACTGCTGCATTGATAAGTCCTTTTCAATGACCACTTAAATTCGGACTTTGCAATTCATGCTTCCATTGTAAGTTTAGTTTACCTTATACTAGCCTAGTTCAATCACGGGTATTTTACACTGGTTTCCGAACCACGTGGATCCATCTTCCACTGCTCCGGCATTCTCCATCTGTTTTTTTGCTAAGAGATTATTGACTTCATTTCTCGCCGAATGCGGTTTGTACACTTTGATGGCTGTTCATTTTTGTACTTACATGATGCCATCTTTTGCTCTAAATTGTTCACAGCTGCGCACGATCTTGCTCAATTTATCCTTTCCTGAGGAAACGCTTTCCGATTCTGGGATCGATTTCAATGTGCCCAACAATGTGGACTGTGACGTACTCACATCTCTGTTAACTCTTGGTCTGTACCCAAACATCTGCTATCACGTGGATAAACGAAAACTTCTTACCATGGAAGGAACTGTAGCGTTAGCACATAAAGGTTCGGTCAACTGTTCAAATCTGAACGTGAAGTTCGAGTTCCCCTTTTTCGTATTCGACGAAAAGGTAAACTTGTTTTTCTCGTTTCGCTTTGCCCCCTTATTTTCCCTTAATTTCTTTTCACCATAGTATGCCACTGCTTCCATTAATATGATCCTTTCAATGCGCCCGGTTTAAACCGAGCTTCATGATTCCTGTGATCCAACCATAGCAACTTCACTATTCCACCCACCCCAAAACTGTCGTTTTTTCGGCGATTAGTATCCACAGCTTCTCGTTTTTTTTCTTTTCGCTTTACCATCCGTCGTTGAGGCGGTTTCTCCGTTAACCTCATAGCACTTGGCTGTTGTATTTTTTCCGTTAGTATTGCTACCGGATTTCGAATCGTTTCACCGTGATTTCTCTGTATACCTATTTGTCTTACTACTCTACTACTGCATCTGTGTGCACTTCAATAGCTCTATATCCAGACCTAGACTAATCACACAGTTCACAACCCAGCCGGGCTGAAATTGTTCCACCCGTATTCGTTAATCCCGGCACTGCACTTATCCTTTCTCCCTAACAGGCTTGCGTACGTCGATTCTCCAAGTCCAATTTTGAAGTCGATTTACTTTCTTTCTTGATTTTTCCCTGTGCTGGAATACTTTGAACCACTTGCTTGAACCGTAGCAATGTGAAAGTGTCTCATATACATACAGGAGCTGCGTTATAGCAGGTTCTCTATGCTAACTAGCATCTATGTGGTCTCTGGTCTGACTACTAGTGCGGTCCCTTGCACACCCCTTGATAACATGCGAAGTCATCATTTTCCATTGATTTTCTCACCATCGCCATGAGACTGAACCTTACCGCGTTGCGATGTTTTGCGTGCGTGAACGATTCATGCGAGCTGGATGGTACTTTTTGCACCTTCATGGTCACTTATACCAGCTTGGTTGATGGTCAGAGTTCAGACTGACCCCGTCTCCTTGTCCTCCGTGGTTGAAGTTGGAATGAGAGTGGCTCCTTATTCTTTAAAACGTGCTTCCTGTAGCCCACTGCCAAACTCTTACTGTCTTGCTGCTAGTTCTTTTTTATTGAAGACTTTTGTTAAGAACTCCAATCGTTCTCCTGTCGAGACCTGGGCAACTTGAGTTTCCTACCCATACAATAATGGCAACTTTTCACACGTTTTCTAAGTGCTCTGGCCGTCGCAGCTGATTATCAACAGCATTATATCTGCTGCATCGAGCGGGATGCATAGAAGCGAGGATGCTGCTGCTCAAAACTTCGTCTTCTTATTCTCTCTAAAGCTTTTTCATCCTTGTCATCCATTCTTGTTCCCCAACTTACTTTGACTGGAGTTTGTCTCCTATTTTCGGCTTATGCAATTGCAGTATCTCACTCCTACTCTCTTTACAAGTTCGTTTTCAATTTAGCGGGAAATTATTCTAAATCTATTCGAAATATTTCGTATTTTCATTCCGTTTCAGGCCTATTTCGAGATTACACAGTTCCCCACTTCCTCTGTTTAAAGTTCTCGACCCTGGCTACGATTAGAATGTCGCACGATGCTTACTTCGTTGCTGGTCGGCCAACAGCCACCACGACCGAATATTAGAGACCATATCGATCAATGTCCGCTGCTTATCAGGGACTCGCCTGCAATACTCGGGCTCTGTACTCAATCTACGATCGCTTTCATGTGACACTCGCGGTATTGTCTCTTTGTGTCTGTCAGGAGATAACGCAGCTTCCAATGCGCGTCAAGCTGGCATGGGCATTGCTCTAGCCCCCATGCCAAAGTTGCTGCAATCGGTTGCATCCCAATCAGTAGCCGGAAGTGCGCCGTCAGGTTGGTTGGCTCCTTCGGAGCCCCTCGAGATTGCGAAGTGTACGTAGTTGCCTGCTTGTCATTGTTGCCTACGCACGCACGAACTTTGACCCTGACTCGGTGAAAGGTGACTTCTGTCCTCAAATGCACAGGCTCCTTTATCACAGAAGATTAACGGATACTGTATTGCTGACTGGTGATTTGAACGCTAAACTTAGGAAATTTTCCAATTTCATGCTAGAATCACCAAGGCATTAGCCCACTTTCTATTACCTCCAAAGTTTCACGGACATTTGACTACTTACTGGTCCTCGTGATAGTCGAATCACAAAACCGAGCTGTCTTCTGTCCAGGTCGTGGTTGCATCAACTACATATTCACTCTTCGTCAAGTGTTGCAGCAAAGACAGTTACAGATGATCGGGTATGGTGGTTTTCCTTAATTTGAAAGGCGCGTTTGACTCTGTGGATCGAGCCAGGTTGTGGCACTGCTTATCCATGAAGAGCGTGCCAGCTAAACGCTTCCATTTTGAAGTCTCTACCGTGATTCCCGAGGCCTTGTAAAGGTATACGGGAAACAGTCTCTTGAGTGGGATTCGCCAGGATTGCCATATGTCTTCCTTTCCAACTTTGTGATAGAAATGATTATGAATGACTGCTTTTTCAGACTCTTACGGAGTACAAATTGTGCTAGGTGACCAATTGGCAAACCTTGGGTATATATATATATATATATATATGTGTGTGTGTGTGTGTGTGTGTAAAGTGCCCCATGCTAAAGCTGATGTTGCATTCATGATGCTTCTTCACCGCAGTTGGGCTAAACCAACTTACACTTAAACTAGGTCTCCTTTTAAGCTGGATAAATTTCATTCCACTTTATTTGCTTTGTTCTACCTACCTCAATATCCTTTTACTAACTTGCACACATTGCTTACCTTGCTGTTGTTTGACATCCCCTGTGCGTCTGCGCTTGATGTGCATGTTGACAAGGTGTCTACCTATCTATTACCCACTACCTCGTCCATACTGTCTCTATTAGATAGTTGGTCGTTGCTGTAGGGGATGGGGTGCACGGTCCTTGTGGTCGTGCTAGGCTCGAAGAGTGGTTCCATGCACTCAGTGTGGAGCGGACTACGGTCCAGCCACCGCCTTGTGTGCGCTTGATACCCAGGTACAGCGTGCTTGTGTTTGCTTGTGAAGGAGTGTGGGCCGGCTCCGTTGATGAAACGTGGCTCCCAGCCACATGCCTCCCGGTCTTATTCCTTCGGGTTTACACTGGATATGGGGTATGTGGTTGGAGCTGTGGGTGGTGCAGCGCAAGCCACCGATGGTCCATCTGTAGGCGCAGGCGTCATGTGGCCTGCCACAGTGACCGGATGCCGCCAACCATATATATGTAAAGCATCGGTCTATATAATAAACATTGAGCCATCTTGAAACCATGGAATGAGTACCTGCTTTTCCCACGCCGTTTTGTCTCTTTTGTCAGTTTCGTGATGGTTTTTATGTATAGAATCCATGCAAAGACTCATGCAAGCTTTGCATTATTTGCGATTACGTGTCATGTCCTCAAGAGTCTCCAGCCAGCGATGTTCTTCATCTTTGACTCCTTGGCACGGTAGACGTACGGGGCCAGCTAGACTAGAAGGTGCTTTGACAGTTTGGTCTCCACGTAGTAGGTTGGGCACCTCTCGATTTCTTCCAGTGATGCCCTATGCGAGTGAATATAGCGCGCCGTGGTAAGCGCTCGCACGACATGCGTAAGACGTGACCTAGCCACCTCATTTGGTGCAGCGATATTAGTTTGTCGCTAGGTAGACCTCTATTATCGACGTTGCTAACGTGGTGTTCCCACCACACACAAGCTATTCTGTCCAGACATTCGTTGTCAAAGGTCGAAATCCGACACAAATCATTTAAACGGACCGGCCAGGACTCGCTCCCATACTACAGGACCGCGCAAACAGGCATTGTAGACCCTGCCCTTTGCCGAGAATGAGACGTCACGATGATGCCTACAGATGCCTCAGATCAGCGAAAGCTGATCGGGCATTGGCAATACAGACAGGAATCTCTCTACCGATGGTGCCATCAGAAGAAACGCAGCTCTCAAGCTAGATGACGATATCTATTTGTTCGAGCTGCGTGCCTTCAAAAATCAGCACAGAGTAGGTGGACGCTAATCCTGGAGTAGGACCTAGCATTTCGATGGAGCGATGATCATGCCATACTTCGTAGCTTCAATCACCAAGTGGTTAAGAACGACTTGCATATGTGTGCCGTCACTGAGCAAGGCAGTATCATCAGCATACTCCAAGTTGGTTACGCGGTTGCATGGAAGAAGCTCTACGCCAGAACCCCTTAGACCTTCAATCGCAAAGTTGAGGAGAAACGGGGACATAGGGCATTCTTGTCGCACACCGCTAGTGAGAGCGAAAAGTGGAGAGAGCTTACCGTAAGTCCTCACTCTACCAGAAACATTGTTGTATAAAGCTCGAAGTGTGGCGGTATACCTTTCGGGTACCCCATTCCTTTGCAGACAACGCCGCAGAGCAGGCCGGTGGAACGCAGTTCGGATATCCAAAAAAGATGACAACGGTACACTGACGATAAAGGTGACGCTGCTCGAAGAGTTGGCGGAGCGTAAATATGTGGTTCACACACCCTCGGCCGGGGCGGAAACCAGCCTGTTCTTCACGTGAGTGTAGCTCTCGAATCGATTTTAGCCTGCGCAGTAGAATGGATGTTAGCAATTTGGGGGCGACGGATATTAAACGGGTTCTTCTGTGGTTGACGTATGAGTTATAAACATCATTTTTGAAGATAAGTGCGATGATCGACTCGCTCCAAGAAGATGGAACCTTTTCTTCACACCAGCTGTTCGAGAACATAGCTGTTAACTATCTGATAATCGCCTTGCCATCGTACTTGAACAGCTCTGGAGGAAGTCCGTCTGAGCCAGCAGCTTTGAATCGCTTCCAATGACGAAACTCATGACAAACCTTCACTTCGGTGCGTGGCGTCAGTGAAGCGTTCCAAGAATCCCAGGTTGGCTTGCTTGTTAGACAGGAGGAACGAGGAGGCCAACTGAATTGAGAGTGGAAATGCTCGGCCTAGCGGTCCATGCGCCTACGCAAATTAGTGATCGGTGGTCCATCAAACTCGGTTGGAGCCACTCGGCTCCCTGGTTGGGGACCGAAAAATAATGAACACGTTTGGTTGGATACACTTGTTGACATAGCTAAAAGCAGACCTCAATAGCGTTTGTGTTATGAGTCCCTTTGTCCACCCCTCTCCGCTTAGCCTCCCCTTCCAACCACCATCTCAATTAGTAGGCATTATGACTTTTTCGGCACAATAGCCGGTTGTTAGCTCTCCTGAACGATGTCCATCCGTTACTGGTGACTCAGCCGGCGTGACTCGGTTTCACTTTTTATTTTGTATTGCGGCACCATAGCTGAGGTGTTTCACACCTACAGTTAGTATGTATAATGGCTGAACCTTGCAGATAGCTTCACTGACGCCAGGTCTTATGGGGCTAATGGTCCGAATGATTTAGAGAAGCCTGCGAAAATTTCTAGAGTGAGAGAGCTGCTGTCTCCATCTCCGAAGCGCGCTGAGACCACCAAATTTCGCGATCCTTACGCAGGCTCTGCTTGAGCTGTTGATTGAGGTTTCGGCGGACTCCATCGCAGCTTGAATTAGCTGGCGACCGTCCAACGCACGAGCGGAGATCCCGCCTCTCACAGGACGCCCAGTAATTCCACAGTATGATTGACCGGAACAAAGCAACACTTGCAAGCAATTTCAGTGATGTTCAACATCTGTAGGTTGGGTAAGAACGAGCTCATCTGATACGGAGGATTGATAGGCCAGTTGAATGGAGGGGTTAGCTAGCCTGTTGGTATCCAGCGTACGGTGCTTTGGTTTCGAGGAACCACCAAAGCGCATGCAAATGTCCACACAGACCAGAGCGTGATCTGAGTCGAGGTAGGTGGACCAAATCGATCTGCAATCTAATGCACTGCCCCCCATCTGAAGCTGCTTGCAATGTGATCAATTTGTGACCACACTTGTCTAGGCGAAGAGCGAGGTCGTGTGACGGCGCGTCTCTTCGAATGCCTTAAGTTCGTGCTCGCGAGAAATGGCCGGTTGTCCTCACATAACATGGGAAGCCGATCTCCGTTATCAGAGCGACTATCGTCAAGAGCATGACAGTCACTAAGATGACGTTCGCGTGGCAGCAGACGACCGACCCGTGCATTGAAGTCGCTGGCAAGCACAAGATCGGATTTTTCGGCTTTAGGAGCAGCTGGCGATCACCGTAGAAGTCGTCCTTAACTGATGCACAACTGCAGTCGGTTGGAGTGTAGGCAGAAACCACAAACAAGTTGCGTCTCTATGCGATGCCCATCGATCTTGTACGAGCCTTGAAGTCGAACCGCACTCAATCGGCTGTCAATCAGGAACCAGTCGAGCAGCGAGACCTCAGCTTTTTCACTTAATGCGATGTCGACACCGGCCAAGCCAGCTGCAGCCGCCTGTATATCATCAGACAAATATAGGGAATATATGATCCTGAGATCAACAGAGGACGACAACTTAGCTACGGCGCTGGAGTCCTGTAACCGGGTCTCAGGAAAGACAACAGACATCACTGGTGAGGGACTCCAAGGTGCGCACTAGGCCGGCTTGTTGTCCGATCTGCGTAAGGGTTCTAACGTTGAAGACCGCCAGCCGAAATGGAGATCGTGGACGAAGGAGGGCCACTGGTCGGACCCTTTGGACATGGGTGAGACTGTCATCAGAGACAGATACAAAGGAATTATTGATGAAGATTAGCGTGTGATGGAGGTGCGTAAGTAGTCATGAGCTCAGGAGCATAAGGGGACGACATAGTAGTAGTAGTAGTAGTTGCGAAATCCATGGTTCTGTCACCTCCCAAGTTACTGCCCGGTTGCCCAAGCCGAGATAGGAAGTTGTTTAAGAGAACACCACTCTGAGCCTTTGGCTGAATAGCTTCGCAAGCCAGCGGAGCGAATTTAGGAAATCGCGCTCATTGGGAGTCGGTGACTGATTACTCAGTTCATACGCCTTTCGTTTGGACGCTTACCAAACGTGCCCAATTCTCCCTACAGTTTCAGCATCCGATTGCTGGATTTTCAATGTTCCACCAAAGTGAAGCAAGTGACAGTGACTTTATGTAGTGGCGAGTCATATCCGCGACGTCACAGTGTTGTTAAACAGACATTTATGGCTTTTATAGGGAAATGGCTCGCCAGGCGAAAACCCATCACGTCCTGAAACACTGCTACCAAACCATTGACCGGAACAGGATAATCCCGGACCACCCAGTTGACTGAAACATTTCCATTAGAGTTCTGATATTCAAGGATTATCATCCTTCGGATGCGGCATTCAATGTTATAAGTCTGGTCTCTGTCGTCCCCAATTTGTTTGTATGTCGTTCTTCATTAACTGACTAGCATCAATGTAAGTCAAATTCGTAAAGATCAGGCTGTCTTTTGTCGAAATCGGAGCAGTACTTCATTTTGTATCAGTTATCAAAACACCGCCACTTATATTGGCGACCCGCTCTGGTCGTGTTCCTTGACATCAAAAGTGCCTTCGATTCAGTTGATTGATGTACCCTTTTTGACTTTAACTGTGCTCTAGAATTAATCAACTATCATCAAGGCGTTTTACGCTCATAGTTCAGGCAGAGTGGGAGCTTGTGTCAAGTAGTCACCACCCTTCAATCTCTCCCGCGGCATGTGACAGGGACTTCCTTTGTCACCTTCCCGTTACGAACTCGCTGTTGACGGTTACGGGAAATGTGTTTACTGTACAGGACTTGGACGGTTTGATGCTCCTCTCAGGTGATCGATTTCTTGGCTTTGAGTATACTGACCATATTGCACCGCTCTGTGACAGCTCAGGAATGTGGCAATCAGTACTGCACAGATTAGCAGTGGTGGTAAATCCTTTTTGACTATGCTTTCCATCATCGAGATGCCGAGCTTCCCACCTCTGCACTGATTCTAGTTAACGATCAACCAGAAGTTATTCAGAGCCTTCGCTACCTGGTTAGCCGTGTCAGCGCTGAGGATTGAGGTCAAGAGCCGTATGTCAAAAGGTCGAGGCATTTTCATCAGTCTTGCCACGTCACGCTTGTTCGGAAGAGTCGAGTCTACAGGGCAGCCGTCCATTCGTCCCCCTCAACGGTTGTGAAACCTGTCCCATCAGACATAACAAGGGTGATTGCATTCCACCATTGGTGCCTACGTAGCTTGCCCCATATCTGGTCAGAACATCTTGTGAGCATTGAACGTGTTCAGTGTCTTGTTTATGGCACTGAAAGAGTAACTGAACCGCTCAGCACCACAATTTACTCATTGATTCCCGCGGCATGTTTATACCACCGACTTCTCGGTGTCAAAAGAGGGGAGACCAACCGGTTGAATGGTCAAAATGAATGAAAACCCTCACTTCGAGTTTAACCACAGTTGTTGCCTCTCCACACAATAGTTGAGACCCAAATAGCGTTGGACGCGTTTGGCTGAAGATGCTTGTTGACATGGCATTTGTGTTGTGTTTTGTTGTTCCTCTTCTGCGATTTAACCCCAGATGCACGGTAAAGCGATAATTATTTCATCTGTTCCGCTTATGATTTTATCTTTTACGACTTGTAACACGGCAAACTAGCTGAGGTGTTCCCCCATTTAACCAACGCCTAACGATGAAGACGGTTTTGTTCATTTGTGATGTAATCCCATTTTGTTTTCGACAGATTCGCACTCAGGCTGTATCATGCAAAGGACTTTCTATGGTTCATCCCATTCAGCTCATGCTGTTTGGTTGCCGGACTGCTGTATGGAAGAACGAAAGTTCGACAAATCCTGGTAAGGGTACTGTCATTCTTGATGATTGGCTGCCCTTAACGATGCAATATTCATCTGCTGCCCGCATTTTCGCCTTGCGCCCCGCATTGGAAGCTCTTTTAGTGCGTGCGTGCCTTCGCCCTGAACAGCTTTCAGAACCAGAGGAAACAGATCAAAATGTAATAGAGATGGTTCGTCGTTTGTGCTCGCGACAACCTACAGAGCCCAAGCGATCTAATTCCTCAGCAGATGGTTCGCCGCCGCGCAAAAAGTTCGCGTCTGTTCGTTATCAACCGCTACTTTCCGGCCGCTCTCGGCGTACAAATCCGATGGAGGATTTCGGCTTCGAACGTTACACCAATCATCCTGAACAGTTTTATCCACCAGATGTACCAAATCGGCAAGCATGGAGCGTCCCGAATGCGGATGCTGACGAACGGTACATCCAACCTGCTAGACCGTACCCTCCTCGATTTCGACAGCCTAGTCCTGGTTATTTAAATCAAGCGGGGCCGCAACGCGGGATGCCACCACAGCGCCCCCCTTTCCCCCGGTTTGCTTCTTTTGCTCCTGGGCCACGATCCGACTTTAACTACCATCCTCGCGATCAGGTGTCCGCCTACAAACGACATTACTGAGCTTACTGTAGGCTTCCATTTGCTTCCGGTGTTCGCGCAAATTTTCATATACATTGTACTCTTTGCTACTCCCTCTATCGAACATCTTGAACTTTGGAAACTGGTTTTATGTTGTCTGTCATATATTACACGTTAGTGAAATAAACGGTCAACACCTTTATCCACTGTTTGTCTTTTAAACCTACTGAGATTATTTGTTACCCTGTGCACGAGGCTAACGCTCAGTCCGCTGTATATGTGCGTCGAAACTTCTAATTATAGTTTTGAATAGACTTATTTTCGAGAATAGCCAATTAGGTTATCATCTTCCTTCTGCGTCATCATTGTTCACTTAATCTCTCCTAGCGTTTACCCGCTTAACAAGAAAATTAGACTTCGGTAGATTAGTATCTCGTCGCCATACACGACGGGGTGATCACTGCTCGCCGCACTGACAGTCATTGCAAAGAAACAGAACCTTAATGTGGTGCGATACTTTACATGCATTAACGATCTATTCTTCTGTGCTGGATATTGCTTTGTACACCATTAAAATCGTTCATACCAGCTTAGTCAATGGTCAAAGGACAGATAGTCTCAGTCTCCCGGTCCCCATGTGATAGCTTGGAATGAGAGTGTGTCCATATTTCTTAAAACTGGCTCCCTATAGCCCACTGCCAGGCGCCGCTATTTTTAAACCAACGGCTTTGGTTGAGAACCCTAATCGTTCTTCTGCCTAGACTTGGGCAACCGGATCGTATCCGGCCCAGTCGATATAACTTGCAGTCATCTTAGTCATCTCTGCTTTGGGTAGATCTGCTTGGTAATATGCATGCACCACCTGTCAATCCTTGGTGATCGATCTATCCGCTCTTGTAATGTCCACTTTGTGTAGCTAGTCCAACTGTAAGGTTGCTTGTCCCCGCGAGTGCTTCGGACTTTTCCGTGATTTGGTCGCTTCTGATCGAAGTTTACGCGATCTACATTTCTAGCTACTACCGCGTATATTGCTTTGCCCTTTTTACCGATGCATTTATCTATGGGGATGTTGAGTGCCTTAAGGATCACAAGGTTGCCTTGTAATTTGAGGACGCGGGCTCGAGCCTGCGTAGGGGATCGGGCAATTCCCGCAGTATCCTTGGCCCGCGTACGATTGATAGTGGCTTTGCTGCAGCGAAACGTCGGTCCAGCGTGCTGTTGGTGCCTTTTTGGGTGCTACTAGCCGCAGAGGACAGTGACAGCAGCTGGAACCAGCATGTATTGTATAGATTTGAAGGAAACAGGGGGCAGTGCAACACACGACTCATCTGGAAGATGCAACCAATAAAACTAATGGCGGATTGGAATGCATTAGGTTATCACGAAGTGGTTTATGCACCGAGTTCACTTGATCAGGGTTGGTTACTTATTAATTTTGGGTCTAGACTAGAGTGCGTCATCGATAAGCCGTGGACAAGGTCTCACCGGATTACGGAAATACTTGCTTGTCCAAAAAAATTAGGACCTTGCGTCAGATACTGCCACAGTGGTGTGACGTAGTTGTCCCCCACCGCACCCGTTAGCCCACTGACAGTACGCCCCACGTCCCACGCAGAATTCAAAGCAGTCGCTTAGGTGCAGCGCAATGAGCGAACTGTTTTATCCACAGTCAGTGTGAAAATAGACAGAGTTTGATTTGCCTTCAGGTGAATGTGGCGGTAACCTAAGAATTTGCTGTACCTACCGGGTTGCGAAGTTACGAAAACCGTTCTGCGGTCGATGCATGTTGGGAATTAAACATAGATAACCGACCAAGCTCCAAACCGACGGAGGTGCTCGAAGAAAGTCGGAGTTGAAGAGTTTGGTAGCCAGGGTCTTATATGCAAGGACCTCAATACCGCACGACGAAATAATGTGACCCAGGAATTCTACCGTAGACCAAGTTCGCATTTAGTTAGGTCTACCGCTGGAAGAGGTCTTGAAGACGGTCTAGATGATCTGCAGCTGAACTGTTCACAAGATCTCGAGGTGAGGATAAGTGGAGTCTAGTCCACTAGCCATGTAGATGAAACGTTGAAGGGTCTGCGAAACGTTGAGAAAAAAAGCAATCCAAAGGGCATTCTCAAAAACACGACTATTCCGAGTAAGGTGATGACTGCTGTCTTAGCTAGGCACTTCTGCAACAGATGTCTGGTAATAGGCCTACAAGGTCATGCTGAAGGCCGTCTTACCCGTAAGGCATGCAGTTATGTCCTGCATTTGTGAGCCCTATTTTGCAAAGTACGAGGTATTCACAGCAAAAACGTCAGTCTCTGGATTTCTTTGAGGCTAATGTTGAGGATCAAGGTGCCGTATATTACCGAATATAAACCGAGGAATTCTGGACAATTTTTGTTTCATTAGAGGGGGTCAAACGCGATTTGAAAAAAGTTACATGCAAAATCCACTAAGGAATTCACTGCATAGCTCTGCTCTTATATCCCATTAGCATCACCCGCTAGTAACAGACGGTATTCCAGACAGGAATTTTACTGTTTGCGTCCCGGTAACTCACAGTCTAGTCCGGAAAAGCGCCAGACGCGTTCCGCCCTATTAGAATTTTAAGTGCCTATAACTGGACACGTTACTGTTGTGTCGAAACTTCTCGGTCTGTTACGCATATGACGTTCGCGACGGATGGCAATAGCGAATCCAATGCTGTTGAACATTATGTTATGCCAAGCGATCCGGTGCCTTAAAATTACGTCGTCCTACACCCTTGACCGTGAACTTTGCTTTCACCCACTGCTCTACTGTGGTTCATATGCATGAGGCCCTCGACTATGCGAGGCGTTGTCTGACAATCCCACCTTACGTTCTCGGCTGTCTTACCTATTTCTTTTGATTTGACGTCTGGTCAAGACACTATCCGGTGCAGTAAAACTGTTCCAACGGCCCTACGCTCCATTAACCGCCATTGTAACATTATGGTCACCACATCCGACCACTAATGGAGCAGGTTTCACTTGAACTCACTCAAGTGAGAGCAAGTACTGATGACGTCGAAATCGTGGAGAAACAATTTCGTTTCTCTTTTGCCGGTTTTTTAGGGGTCGACTAATACATAGACGTACGACTTTGGAAAAATTTGATCTTGCAAAGTCATACTGTCGGCTTTATTTATGGACGAGCTTATATTCGTATATCTGAGTGGTGGATTATTCCAAGCTCGAGGATGCGCTCATGCTCTCCACAACCAGCTCCATTCTTTTGTGATAGTCGGCGTGGTCGAAATAAATCGTGTAGGCTGTTAATGCATATACGATGTGACTGGCGCCAAGGATAGAGCTGTGTCTACCGGCTGAACGAGTTTATGGTAGTGAGAGAAGAGGTCTGGGATACGGGTGTTTGGTTCACGGACGCTGAACGTCCCTGTGAGGTCGATTATCTTATTTCCACATCGACCATGAGGAAATCTACCGATGATGTCGAGCGGAAGAACGGCCATAACAAATACCCAGCCAAATGTTCTGTGAAGACCCAAATGGTTAAGGAGCGTTGTCTGTAGGTAGGTGTGCTTGTCAAATCGGTGACACAAAGGTTGGGCGTGGACGGCTGGGTCGCTTCTGTTGCGGGAGGTTTCACGCTTACTTCATTCATGGTATTGACAGGGAACACGGTTTCAGGTTGGCATCGTTAACGTAAAGGCGAGAGCCACTGACGCTATTGGTACTTGGGGTGGGGTCTGGCATTTTTCTGATTGTGTTGAGGAGCAGGTGGCGATGTACTACATCACTTCGCTTGACGGCCGAAGTGGGTATAATGCCAGCACAGATGACTGCGCATTGGGCCGCTAGGCTTGGTCGACTTGCTGTTACTTATCGGCGCCTTGCCGGAATCTGGACTGCGATCGCATCGCGGCTATTTCATCGCATGCTATGAAAGGCTGAGTTAAGGGTCACATGAAACATGCACAAAGTGGGTGCTTGCTGAGACGCGCCCAAACTATTCGGCGAATGTATAACGAGTGGTGTTGCTTGATTTACTTATTCAGGAAGGTTGTTCATGTATACGTTGGGCGTCTGTGCGATTTCGATTAAGGAACACTCCTTGGCGTGTGTGCTAATAGCTTGGGTTCGTTCCCATACTACAGCCAGTTTCCGAAGTATGGGAACATATCGTAGACAAGCCGAGGAGTTCTTTTTCTTCCTGAATCCGTGCCATGTAAAAGCTGTTTTTACTCGACTCATGTGTTTTTATAAGAAAGGCAACTCGAGGTATACTCGAGTTAACGTGAAGTTACTTCGATCACAATCTGATCGGTAGCATCTCCGTGACATATTGACATGTGATTATGATAGTGTGAGGGGATTGTAGTTCATTATGAGTATTCGACCGAATTTGCAAAGTGCATTGCATACGGTTTCTTTTGCGTCTTCTGGGATTCATATACACGCGAACATTTGTATGGTTCAATGTCACTAGTTCCAGTTGATTTCCAAGTTTGCATTCCGTCGGACCGATTGCTGGCGCGAATCGCGAGGTAGATATTCGAAGCTGGTTGGGGCGATGTTAAATTTCCGTGAAATGTTTGGACTCGAAACTGTCTCTGAACCATACAACAAAGTTTACCAAACATAGAAATGCATTTGTATTGGTCAGAAAAAGTGCGACGACATATTTCACATTCAAATGAGGGATAAACAGCGGTGTTACGCTAACGACTATCCGAAAAACTAATATTTGTGTGAGCCATGGGATATCACAAAAAATTTGCGATAGGTCAATTTCAGAAAACGAAGGAACGATTTCACTAAATTTTTCAGAGATATTTGAGTAGTGTCCGCAGTCTAGGTGGCTCCTTAGATTCTCGCCGCGAGCGTTGACACGCGTACGCATGCCAAATTTCAGCATACAAAGGACGGTTAGAACAGCTGGAACTAACACATATTGTGGAGAGCTGCAATAGAATGGTATCAGGAATCAGTGTAGCGCACTCGTCACTTGGTAAGCGCAGATGGTAGGGAATCACAAATTGCGGGTTCAAGGGCACAGCTATCAATAAAATTTAATGGTGCGAATTGCTGAGAATAGGTATTTCAGATTCCCTACACCATCTTTCATACCTTGGGAGTTTTGCGCATAAATCAAGTCGCCAAGCTTACAATTGTTCGGCACTGTTTCTCTGCCTCTGGGAATAAGGTTATGCTGTCCGGATTTT